AATTTAGTGATAATTCCTTATCCACAAAAATACATAAGGAACCTCAATTTCAGGATTATCGGGATTACAGTGCAAATCTTCTAACTAAGTTCCAACACTCTCTTTCTTCATCAAGGGTCATTTCCTAGACTTCTCCTCGAGGAAGTCCATAGCAGAGAAGATGAAGAGTTCAGAAGTATAGCAGTGTTGAAGAAGAGAATTTAAAAATTAAATATATAAATTACTTGTAGATGCATTTTTGGGACATCTTTTTTCCTATAAGTAAGAGCAAGTAGCTCTGTAATGGCCTGCCTATGCAGAATTATAACTGCTCTGATATATTTTGCAAGTTTATCTCATTGTTAATTTTCTCTTACTTTATGTTATTCATCGGATTATAGTGTGGGGAATCACCGCAGTTGGAGAGGATAAAAAGAAGAAGGATGGCAAGACAAATAATAAAATCTATGGTACTTTAGAAGAATATAGATAAACACAGCCTTTACGTACCTACTCACAACGATACTATTCATATCCTGCCTCTAAAGCATCATCATGGGGTTGAGATAACCACAACCTGAGATTTGGCAGAGTCAAGAACAATGTAGAAACATTCTAGCTTTCCTCCTTCTGAGCAGAATTTCAAACTTGAAAAGGCCCAATTTCATAAGTGTATTTCATACTGAACTTTTTTAGAAGATATAAGAAAACTTGCAAGAATCAATCTTTAACAAAAAAAACCGGTGGTTCCTGAAGTTATTAGCAAATTAAATGAGTGATACTGTATGCCTCCACCAAAAGGTTCACAAATATACAGATCCATACTGAGATCATTCATATACCAACAACTCCAACAAAAAAGTAATTTTTTTACTCCAATATTTCAACAGTAGAGAGAGAAGATAAATTAACATTTTACCGCTTCTTGTGCTTCTCCGTCTTGACATGCTCGTCCTTCCCTATAGAAATACAATTTAACAAATTACACCTCTAAATAGAAGGATTTACCTGATGATGAATGACCCTCGCAAATGAAACGTAACTTTACCACTTTACTAACCTCTTTGATTATCAAAATTGTTTATGCTCAATTAAATTTAACATTCATAGATGCAAATACATTGAAAGTAGATTACTTACCTCTAAAAGAACCCGAGAGAAATGAAGTCTCATGAAGGAGAAGTGTTGGAGTAGAATTCTGATTCTCTTATTCTCTTGAAATTGAATACGGAGAGATGAGACATCAATAATACGTAGGAGAGAGGTAAAATGCAAAGAAATCTGCAATCAACAAATTGAAAAAAAGAATTCAAATTTTAAGAACCTGTAAATAGAGGGGAAAAAGGAGAAGAAAAGCAAAAGGACCGGTAATGTGTAGCAACAACTAACAAAATTTAAATTTGATACATGCAAAATAGCTACAGTCCAAACAACAAATAAAGCAATAAAACTAAAACAACAATTATGTCAACTGAATGGAAATTGAAAATTGAAATTTGAAATAATAACTGAGCATAAATATGGTGACAAAGAAATACGTAACATCTAAGCAAGAATAAATGAAAAAAAATAAGGTGGAAGAGACTAATAATGTTTACTTGAAATTGTGCAGAGCCTTCCGTGGAGATTTTCGCTTCGACGAAATCGTTGAGGATTCGAGAGGAATTGAACTTTGGTTCCACACAATTGAGAAGCAAAGGTGCTGGGGCTAAAAATTTTGTGCATTTTCTCAGTACACGTGCTTAGCAATGGTATTGACATGTGTTTCCAAGAAAAAGAAAGTAGTACCACTTTAATGTACCATTTCGATTGCTTTTGGTACAATTGTTTAATGATGTGACAGACCTTTGTCTTGTTGGCTTATATATAAGAGAATATTTTCACGAGGCACCCAATATTTGGACTATGTAATTTATATTTTACCCATTTTTAAATTTTAGTTTCTCAAGGTGTGCATTGCACATGCATTTCAAATTTATATTATATGAATTTATATAATTTTCAATGTTATTAAAATAAAAGCTTTAAGTAAATAACTATAGGAGTAAGAATAAAGATAAATGACGTTAAAATTAACGTTGAATTATTGTATGGTCAAACTTCTTTAAATGATCAACATCAAATGTCTCTCGTCAAAATGATGCAATACTCATAATTAGAGCTGTTAATATGGATTGGCCCACCCTATCTGAGCTAGCTCATACAGACTTTGAAATTTGACGGATCAAGCCGGGCTAGCCCATTTTTGGTGTGGGCCAGAAAATAGCCGGGCCCAGCCCACAAGTACGTGGGCTACGGGCTTGTCGGGCCAACCCTCTTTGCATAAAAATATATTTTTTATAATTTTTAAAACTAAATTATAATTTAAAAATATTATCATAAATATCGACAAGATAATATTATATGGTGTTAGTGTTACTACTTGTTAATCAAATCCACAAATAAAATTATCGTTATAATATTTATTAAGTTTGATTTCAAGTAAAAGCATAAATAACTAAATAAAAATATAAACCAAATTATTTTCCAATGATCTTAATAAAACACAAAAAACTATGACAATATTCCATAGGCTACGGCCTATGTAGTGATTCCTAGAAATTTTAGGGAATTTTTATTTTACGTAATACGTATTTTATAAACATAATTTGTATTTAAATTGTAATATTTCAAACTTTTAACTGATTTTGAGTTTAGACTCTTGTTATTTTTAAATTACTTCTATTTTATTTTTTATTTTTTAATTAATTTTATTTGTCCACGGCCGGCCCTATCCATATTTCTCAAGCCCCACAAATCGACATGCTTATTCAGGCCGGGCTAAAAAGTCCTTTTCTTAAATGGGCTCCAAAAATCGTAGCCCAACCCTATCAAATCCCGAGTTAGGCCAGGCCGGCCCAACGGGCGTAGCCCATATTGACGGCTCTACTCATAATTTAGGGGTGTACGTGAATCGAGTTGGTTTTTTTTTTTTTTAATATTAAATCAAATCACTAATGTTGGGTTTTTAAATCTATAAACCAAATCAAACTAATAAATTCGGGTTTTTCAATCTCGGAATTTTTTCAGATTTTTCAGGTTTCTTGTGTTTTCAAAGTTTTTCCCGTAAAGTATTCATACAAATATATAATTAACTTATGTTTCAAATATTTCTTTACTCTTACCAAAATATAAATATTTAAGGTGTTTCTTAAGAAAAAAACACAAAATATGATATGTGTGATGTCACTAAAATATTCAACAAAATAATAATGAAATCATATAAAACAAATATTGCAAATAAATATTGTCATTCTTCGTATATGAGTTGATTTTTCTTGTTAGCAATAATATTGATTTGATTTTGAGTTGATCTTTGTTAGAATTACTAATATCTCTATAGAATATAACTTTTATTGGACTATTCAAAATTCTAAGTCAAACTTAAAATAATATGTTAAAAGATAAAAAATATAAAAATGTATAAGATATATTTATAAATTATATCTAAGTAAATTATTTTTTTTATTTTTTTAAAGGAGGGCTCCTGGCCCATTTTATTATATATTAATAAATAAGGGAAAGTATATACATGAGTGGATCCAAAAATGACCTGGTCCAAAAACTTAAAACATGGAGCTACTAAAAATGGAAGGTCAGCTGAAAAGACACAAATTGCAGCCACGGACACCATCTCAAAACGTCCGATCAGCCATTGATGTTATCTAACTAAATACTTTAATGTATAAAATAATTTTTAAAAATTATATATATGATGTCGGGTTGGATTGGTCTCGAGTTGACTTTTTAAAGTTAAAACTAAACCAAACCAATATAATCAAATATTTTTCTTCAATATCATCAAGTCAAACCAAATCACAAGTCAGATTTTTTTTCTCAGGTTGATTTGATTTACGGACACCACCAAGAGGTTCTTTCTCTCACGTAATTTCGCCCGCCCGTTTCATTTCCGTACCGGAGGAAACTCCCTTGGTTGGGGGCTGTGCCGCCCTGCCTGATGCGATTTTCGATTCAGTTTCCGTTGACCCCTAACTCATATATTCACATTAAACAATAAATATTTTATCTAGTTATAATATTTTAAATATCTTTTGTCTATTCAATTGTTGAATGGGTTAATGTTTGAGCTGTATATATGCTAATGTTTATCTTGAACAATCTTTTTCTTCATTAAAGTGCACATTCCACTTGTGTATTGTGCTATTTATTACTCTCTCTGTTTAAAAAAGAATGACCCAATTTTATTTTAGTCTGTTTAAAAAAGAATGACCCATTTCCTTTTTTGATAATTTTTTAACTTTAACTTTCCACTTGACATGTTTAAGGCCACAAGATTAAAGGACATTTTGGTACATTTGACATAACTTTAATTTAAAACCACAAGATTAAAAAGTCTTATTTCTTTCCTTTAACTCCGTTCCAAGTCAAACTAAATCATTCCTTTTTAAACAGAGGGAGTATAAAATATTATAGTGTGGATGTCCACTACACCAAGAAGTTACTCTCACCAATTATCTCCATTACTTCCCTCCATTATGAAGATAATCTCCACCTTTATGACCATTATTCTTATTGTAACAAATAACTCACGGCATGGAGAGCCTGTATACATTATCAAATATATTTATATTGTACAAGTGCATAGAGACATAATATAACATAACTCAAACTATAAGACTCCTACAAGTACTAGACTAGGAATATTGGACTAGGAGTCCTAATATGTCCCCTCAATCTGGACGAGATGACATTACGGACAGATTGTCACGTAAAAAGCAAAATTGAGATGAAGGTATGCCCTTTGTAAAGACATCAGCTAATTGCAAACGAGAAGGCACATACTGGACAACCAAATCACCTTGAGGTACTTTGTCACGAACATAATGAAAATCAACATCAATATGTTTGGAGCGATCACGGAACACTAGATTACGAGACATGTATGTTGAGCTAACATTGTCACAAAGCACTCGAACTGGTTCACGAAGATAAAGACCAAGCTCTCAAAGAATATGATGAATCTAAGAGGTTTCATCTACAGTATAAGCAATAGCACTGTACTCGGCCTCTGTAGATGATCTTGAGACTGTTGGTTGTTTCTTTGCACGCCAAGAAATCAAATTGGAACCCAAGAAGACAGCAAACCCAATAGTAGAACGCCAACTATCGGGACAGCCGGCCCAATCAACATCAGAGTAAGCAACCACCATTGAAATTGAAGAAGAGGCACGCAAGAACAGTCCATACTTAAGAGTACCCTGTAAATTCTTGAAAATGCGCTTCACGCAATGCAAATGAGTAGTACGAGGAGCATGCATGAACTGAGATACAACATTGACAGCATAGGCAATATCTGGACGAGTCATAGTCAAATATTGAAGAGCACCCACCATGTTCCTATATTCACTAGGATCTGAAAGTAATTCACCATCCATGAGAGAAACAGAACTATGAAAAGCAATAGGGGTACGTACAGGCTTACATGTATGAATGTGAAACTTAAGAAGCAAATCAGAAATGTACTTCTGCTGAGATAAATGGAGACCATGAGATGAGCAAACAGCTTGAACACCAAGAAAATAATGGAGATCACCTAAGTCTTTCATAGCAAACTGACGGGAAAAAAGACTAATGAACCGATTAAGGAGGGAAGAATGATTGCCAGTGAGAATAATATCGTCAACATAAAGTAATAAAATAAGAATACCTGATGAGGAACGATGAATAAACATTGAAGCATCAGATTTGCTGCAAATAAAACCATGAGAAAGAAGGAATGTACTAAAGCGATGAAACCATGCACGCGGAGCCTGTTTTAGACCATAAATAGCTTTAGCTAATTTGCAGACATGGTGAGGAAAGTCTGGATGTATGAAGCCAGAAGGTTGTTTCATAAAGATTTCCTCTGTAAGAACACCATGCAAAAAGGCATTTTTAACATAGAACTGACGAATAGGCCAAGAAAAAGAAATAGCCAAAGAAAGTACAATACGAACAGTAGTAGCACGAACAACAGGACTAAATGTCTCTTGGTAATCAATGCAGGCTGCTGATGAAATCCATGTTCTACAAGCCGAGCTTTGTACCACTCAATAGACGCATCAGAATTATATTTAATGAGATAACCCACTTACAACCGACCACGTTCATGTTAGGCTGAAGAGAAACAAGAACCTAGGTTTTATTTGTCAAAAGAGCATTAAACTCGTCTGCCATAGCTTGTTGCCATTTGGGATTTTTCACTGCCTATGAGAAACAAGAGGGCTCGGTATCATGAAAAGTAACACTCAATGACAACATTGTCTTAGGCTTAGAAATTCCAGATTTTGAGCGAGTTTGCATTGCATGAGATGCATTAGCGGAAGTGGAAGTAGAAGTAGTAGTGGGCAAAGAGAGAGGTATAGTAGTAATACCTATTGCTAATCCAAATTTCCTTTTATCTTCTTGTTCCTTTGAATCTTTTCAGGTGATATGGTTTCCTAGCCTCTTTCAATTCCCTCTTCTTCGAATATCTCCTTGCCTTTTTCTACTACTATTATTGCACCTGCAGTCACTTCTTCAGGTGCTACCAGTACTACTTCATCAAGCTCTACTCGTCAACTTTTAATGATTCCTCCGTTGCCTTCTTTATATTCATCGGTCCATGTCCATTCTGCTCCTCCCAACATTCTTCCTAGTTCCTCTATGGGTCAAATAGGACAGCCCACTCTCTTACCTTATGCTGGATCAATGGAACCACCAATTCCATCAATTTTTCACTCTGCGGCGGCATTGACTGCACCTAACGTTACTAATTTGGTGACTATCAAATTAAATTCTGTTGAAGATTATCTCACTTGGCGTACTCAATTCACCTCCTTGTTACTTTCTCATGAACTGGTTGGCTTCGTAGATGGCTCTATATCTATGCCACCTCAATTTGTATGTGATGCATCTGGTAACCAACAAGTTAACCACCACTATCGTACATGGCTAAGAGTTGATCAATGTGTACATTCATGGTTGTTTGCTACACTAGCCAGAGAAGTTCTTGTTGATGTTCACTTGCTGCCTACATCGCGTGATATTTTGCTCTGATATCATGTAACAAATAACTCATGGCATGGAGAGCCTGTATACATTATCAAATATATTTATATTGTACAAGTGCATAGAGACGTAATATAACATAACTCAAACTATAAGACTCCTACAAGTACTAGACTAGGAATATTGGACTAGGAGTCCTAATACTTATAACCTTACACTTTCATAGCGTCCTCCATTATATTCATGATTAATGTCATGTTTATGACTAACCTTTTGTATGTCTCTATGTTACACTATAAATAGATGCGTCAGGGTTCATATTGTATACAGTTGAATACTTGGAAGAATAAAGAAAGCACTTATCTCGTCTCCCTAATTCTATTTATCTCATCTTCTATATTTCTTATTTTATTTTAATCTAGTTTTACAATACGTTATCAACACGAAGCTCACGAATTAAAACATGAATCTCTAATCAGTTGAGTTATATAGTACGTCTACAAAATTATTACATTGACCTGATATGTTTTTTTTAAAAAATTACTATGACATTGTCATTGCATATAGAGTTAGTTCACTGCTTTACCATTAATTTCCGATGGCAAATGGAGATGAGGTTTTTTTATTAAAGTACTGTTGTGTAAATTTTTTATAAAATTTAATTCATCTTGCATTTAAAAAAAAACGAGTTTGGTAACTATTGTAAAGAAATTACAGTCTTACATTTACTTTAATTCACAAAAAGTCCGATGTTTGGAATTCGCAGTATACAACTTTTTGTGATTTTGATCCATCCAATATGTAACACCCCGACTTTTCAAAACGTCTAAATTAACTCGTATCTTCGTGGAAAGACAAGGAGGGTGAGTAATAAATTAAAAATGATGTGTTATGTGATATTTTAAGTGTTCAAGTGTTGTATCTCAAGGTTTGAAGCTAGGTAAGTGGCAAAATAAAAGTTGGCGAAAGTTACTGTAAATTCCTTTTTAAAGATTTGTCTGAAATTTGGTTAAATGTCTCGGACATTTTCTCCCAATCTATTAAGAGT